CTACATACCTCCCCAGACTGACCACCATGTGTCTACTACATTTTCTCTACACTGACCATCTTGTATCTATAAACCTCCCCAGACTGACCACCATGTCTACTATACTCTCTCTATACTGACCATCTTGTATCTATACCTCCCCAGACTGACCACCATGTATCTACTATACTCTCTATACTGACCATCTTGTATCTACATACCTCCCCAGACTGACCACCATGTATCTACTATACTCTCTATACTGACCATCTTGTATCTATATACCTCCCCAGACTGACCACCATGTATCTACTACACTCTCTCTACACTGACCATCTTGTATCTACATACCTCCCCAGACTGACCACCATGTATCTACTACACTCTCTCTACACTGACCATCTTGTATCTACATACCTCCCCAGACTGACCACCATATGTCTATATTATACTCTCTCTACACTGACCATCTTGTATCTACATACCTCCCCAGACTGACCACCATATGTCCACTACACTCTCTCTATACTGACCATCTTGTATCTACATCCCTCCCCAGACTGACCACCATATGTCTACTACACTCTCTCTATACTGACCTCTTGTATCTACATACCTCCCCAGACTGACCACCATGTATCTACTACACTTTCTCTACACTGACCATCTTGTTTCTACATACCTCCCCAGACTGACCACCATGTGTCTACTATACTCTCTCTATACCGAACATCTTGTATCTACATACCTCCCCAGACTGACCACCATGTATCTACTACACTTTCCCTACACTGACCATCTTGTTTCTACATACCTCCCCAGACTGACCACCATGTATCTACTATACTCTCTACACTGACCATCTTGAATCTACATACCTCCCCAGACTGACCACCATGTGTCTACTATACTCTCTCTATACCGACCATCTTGTATCTACATACCTCCCCAGACTGACCACCATATGTCTACTACACTCTCTCTACACTGAACATCTTGTGTCTACATACCTCCCCAGACTGACCACCATATGTTTACTATACTCTCTCTACACTGACCATCTTGTATCTACATACCTCCCCAGACTGACCTCTTTGTGTCTACTATAAGTTTTGCATTTAGCAATTGTGTGAATAAATAGTTCAGACATATTAGTAAAATTTATCTCATCAAATAGTCCATCATCATGTTTGTCTGAAAAAGCTCTGAAGGAAGCCTTTATCGGTTTAAAATGTTTACTCTCAGTTTGAAACTCTGGCGCAAAAATGTTTATTTCTTCAATTATGTAATTGCAAGTCTCACTGCCTACCTTCAAGTCTCACTGCCTACCCCAGACTGAAGTGCTCCTCTATTCTATCCCGAGACGGGAGCACATGGTCCCCTTCACCTGTCTGGTGCCTGATATACACCTGTAACCTACTGTACAGATCTATAACAGGACGATACTAACCAGTCTTACGAGAACATATCCCAGGAATGCATAGATAGGATATAATATCATTTCCATGGTAACCAAAAATGTAAATATCAACCTTTCAATTTTGTAATACAAGTAAACAAGCCATTATAAATTTCTTCACAATAAAATGATGAAAACTACTTATTTATCTTCCGTCAGTATAAACTGGCCATCTCCACTTCTGGAAGCGCCTCAACTTAAGACAAGAGGCCCATGGGCCTTAACGGTCACCTGATATATTTATACAGAGAGTTGATTTTGTTTTTAACATGAACAGAAATATTATTCAAAGTGACAAAAACCAATAAAACCACCTTACTCAATATCTAGCATATAGATTTCAGACTAAAAAGGATTTGAAACTAGCACCTACAGCCCTTGGGGGTAGGGCTGGCTCAAAATTTTCAAAGTATCAAACTGTCAACTCAAGGTTATAATTCCAATCAAGTTATTAACATGTAATATTCAAAGTATCATTTGTCATTGTAAACCATAATAAATTTTGCCCCCCCCC